TAAAACATTCAGGTATCTTCAAAATGTTCCTCCTATCTTCTGTCACGTTAGTGTTATTAGCTAGATATATGCATACAGACCACTCACAGCTGAACTAAGCCGCAAATCCTCTGAGGTTTTTTCACATCTGTGTGCACGGACAGCTTTGTTTTTACCTCTAACCTTTCTATTTTTGCCCATGGGCTCCCTCCGGCTTCTCTGCGCAGCCGATGCTTGGCCTGAATCTAGACACACTTTTAACTCTGCAAGCCAGCCACGCTAGGCATTCGCCAGCCATGAAGGTGATGGTTTCTCCTTTGGGTGGAAGGGTACTCTGGCTAGACCAGCACTCAGAAAAATGTTTATAAACAGTCAGAAAAATCTCCCAACTGTTTTGATATCCAAACCTTAACATTTCCTATTTGAAACTTATCCACATACTTGACAGCAGATGCTCTTGGATCTCCAGAGCTGCTATTAATGGGTACCAGCCAGGCCCCCTAGTGCCTTTTAACCATGAAAGAATCTGAAGTAACAAAATTTACTTTTAAGTTCTACAAATTTCCCTGGGTATTATAGAAACTAGGATAGACTATGTATTTTCATAAACAGCAGCCCAAGAAGGAAAACACACACTTTGCAATGAACCATCTGTCAAGGGAAATCCAGATGAGTTAAGCAGATGCAGGAATTCAAGCTATTTTTGATGTTCATAGATAAAAGCAGCTATCAAAACAGGATAGAAATATTTAATACTGAGTAGGTGCTTGCTAGGAGTTCCTAGATGCAAAGAAATTTGAGCAAAATGAGTTACTCGGTTACCAGTGAAAATAAGATACGTTTTTGATAGTAAATTTAAAATTACACCAAAGCATATCAGCTACAGGCTGTAGATGTTAATTCAATATTACTGCCAACTTACAACATTGAGAAATCACAAGTCAGGCCTAAGAAAGCATGTTACTAGTTTAAAGTAGCAAGATGGATTAAAAATAATACACTTAGTACTGTTTTATTTATCTGCTTTTTTAGACATGGAGTTATGCAGAAACAACATGTCATTTTTTTTCCTCTGCAATCATGAGCTTTATTTTATGAAAGCTGAAATTCTCATGTAGCCACTGAATTCAGGAGCTAAGACTTTAAGACAAAATGGGAAAAAAAAAAAAAAAAAAGGCAACCATCTTAAGACTTGTGATAAAATCAGGAGAGTTGGCAACACCGAGCATGTAACTGTGAAATCCTTCATCTGTACAGAATTGCATGAAGCCATTAAGCATACACCAACAGAAAGGTGGTTTAAAGTCCTTTAACCCTCTGAATGTCCCTTTACTTTGAGCTGCTTCTTTGTGGGACTGTTGCTCATTAGAGCAACCCAGCACCAAATAGGGCTGCTCAGGGGAGTCCTAGGGCTGCTCTTATTTATATCAAACAACAGTGACTAAAACAGACTGTAAAAGAACGTATGAAGAATAAAGTTTGCCAGGAAGAAGATGGTAAATGTTGTTTCAGCCATGCTTTCTTTCTCTTTGCTATTTGGGAGAAAAGGGTTTCCAGTTTCTACAAATCAGGGCACAGGTCATAGATTTACAGCCTGATTTTATCCCTATAGCAAGTACCCTCAGAGAGTTTGCCGATGACACCAAGCTGTGTGGCACGGTCGACACGCTGGAGGGAAGGGATGCCATCCAGAAGGACCTCGACAGGCTTGAGAGGTGGGCCCGTGCAAACCTCATGAAGTTCAACAAGGCCAAGTGCAAGGTCCTGCGCATGGGTCGGGGCAATCCCAGGCACAAATACAGGCCAGGCAGAGAATGGATTGATGCTGCCCTGCGGAGAAAGACTTGGGGGTGTTGGTTGATGAGAAGCTCAACATGAGCCGGCAATGTGTGTCTGCAGCTTAGAAAGCCAACCATATCCCAGGCCGCATCAAAAGAAGGGTAACCAGCAGGTCAAGGGAGGTGATCCTCCCTCTCTGCTCCGCTCTGGTGAGACCCCACCTGCAGTACTGCATCTACATCTGGGGCCCCCAACACAAGAAGGACGTGGACCTGTTCCAGCAAGTCCAGAGGAGGCCATGAAGATGATCCGGGGGCTGGAGCACCTCTGCTATGAAGACAGGCTGAGAGAGTTGGGGTTGTTCAGCCTGGAGAAGAGAAGGCTCTGGGGAGACCTTACAGCAGCCTTCCAGTACCTAAAGGGGGCCTACAAGAAAGCCGGAGAGGGGCTTTTTACAAGGTCATGTAGTGATAGGACAAGGGGTAATGGCTTTAAACAGAAAGAGGGTAGATTTAGATTAGATGTAAGGAAGAAGTTCCTCACTGTGAGGGTGGTGAGGCACTGGAAGAGGTTGCCCAGAGAGGTTGTGGATGCCCCATCCTTGCTGGCAGTGTTCAAGGCCAGGTTGGATGGGGCTTTGAGCAACCTGGTCTAGTGGAAGGTGTCCCTGCCCATGGCAGGGGGGGGGGAACTAGATGATCTTTAAGGTCCCTTCCAACCCAAACCATTCCTTGATTCTATGATTCTACTAAAATAAATGATATTCAGGCCTTAGTCTTCTTTTCCTGCTTGTTACTAAAAAGAAGTTCTATGGTTAAATTTAACATTCTGGATCCCATGTATTAAACAGGGCTTAAATACAGCAGGCTTCCTGCCATTATCAGTGTCCTACCCCCATGTCATCTGCTGCAGTTGCATTCATGCACATCACTCTCTACCCTCATTTTAGTTTGGATTACATTCATCTTGTTACATATATATTGAACCAGTTCTTTCTTTCTTTTATTAGCTCCTTGATTTGAGTAGAAAATTACAAGTATCGACACATCCACACAATAACCAGAGCTTGAAAATGATCCAAGATTATACCCTAACCTCAGACAAGAACTGATGGCAAGAACAGATGGTTCAAGCAAAACTTACCCAAAGGGAGGTTCTTGTGCCATGTGTTATGGCTGCTTATTAGATCTCCTAAAGGGTGGTGCAGCACCGAGATAAAACAGGCACTCAGTAGACAGAGTACGTGATGTGCAGTCAAATGGATTGATTTGTCTAGTGAATCTAATAAATGGATCTTGTTAATGCTGAGCAGGGAAAAATATTCCTCAGCCCCTATTCATTAGCTCATCCTCATTAAAAGAATGCCTTCTCACCAGAAAATCAGAGAGGCCTCCAGTCCTCTCTGCAGAAGACTCTACAATGCATAAATACTGGTTTCTCTCAGTTGGTCTGTTCTCAAACAACAGCACTGCTAGCAGTTGTATTTCTGACTCCTAATTTATGGGTTTTGCTGTTGCTTATTCTTTGCTCTTCCCTGATTATCACCAATATCCCTGTCCCGTCTACAATGCAAAACTGTTCTTTGCCCTTCAGTCCCTCTTCTACCACCCATTGTTTTTCATCTACATTAATTATATCCTGAGCTTCTGTACCTGATGGGGCAGCCCACCCTTCCATGCTTCAGTCATTGTTCATGCTCCTCTGTGCACCCATTCCGCTCCTCCTCCTTATACAATGGAGTAACTGCTGGGCATCTGGGAGCCTTGTGGAACTGAGTCCCTCCAAATTCATGCTCTAGTCTTAAGAAACAGAAAAAAAATCTTTTTCGCTATCCCTGAATACCATGCCTATTATTCACATCAAATATTTGATGCTTATACTATTACTTTTTTTCTCCTTTCCCTTTTTGCTCACTTGGGAGAGAAAAATGTGTTCGTCATGTACACATCCCATCTTCTCTCACCTTACACCTTTTAGTTACTGACCATGAGATCATTTACTTCATCCTGCTCCATAAACCACTAGTGTCTCATTCAGACATGCCCCAGCCCTTCTTTCTTCTTGCTGGCTGGCTGTTCTCTCTCAGTATTCCAGCAGGGCACCTACATCCAATTTAGAAAAATTTTCTATCCCTCCATCTGTACTTCCTACTGGCCCATTTGCCTTCCCCCATTCAATAGCCAGCAGGTAACTTTTGCACTCTTTTTCTCTTCTTTTCTGTTTTTTAATCTCAGATTTCTACCTTCTCTGCTGAAAATGCCTTTTCTGAGGCCTCATTCAGCCTGTCTTGACTGAGTCCTGGGTTCATCATTCTTTCCTCCTTGGCGCATTCTCTTCCCTTGGCTTTTGCTGCCTGGTGAGCTTGTGACTCACCTGCTAGCTCTTGGCCTTATCTTTTTATCATCTCTGAATGCTCCTTTTGTCCCTGCTCTGCAGGGAGTTTCATATGGCTGTGTCATTGGATGCCCTCATCTATCTTACTCCTGTACAGTATCATGTCCTGTGATTGTTTATATTAGCAGTTGAAGACCCCTGTCAATCCACACCTGCCTTCTTTTGCTATCCGTTATTATCCAACTCTTCCCAATGTAGAGAGAGGAGCTATGCTCCTTCTGCATAGCTTGAAGGTAAAACCAAAATATTTATCCCTGTTTAACCTTCTTCTCTTTTTCATTCCCTACTGTTATTAAAATACTGTCTCACAGTATGCAAGGATCAGGTACTTTTTATCTATAGGTACCATCCATTTGAATAACTGCAATTCTATTTTATTTGAGGTTATTTAACTGTCTGCTTCTGGTTAGATGACTGATGGAAGTATGGTTATGAGTGGCCTTTGCCAGATGAGAATGACCGAAGTTATGAAAAGATATTAGCATAAATCATAGCAAAGGCATCTGAAAGCATAAGAGTTCTGAAAATGAAATAAGCTGCTAATTCCCCTGGAGAGTAATTTTAGATAAAAGATCTCTGAAGCTACATTAGGTATTACTTAGTGTCACAAGAAGTTGCTGAAATCCATGAAAAACAGCAGGTCCCTGATTCGTAAGATACAGGTTCCTCATTTCCCTGAGACGTTTATATATGGATGATGTGGATATGGACAGATAAACAGTTAGAAAAATAGTAATCTGGGACACACACACACACACAAAGGATGTGGTTAAGAACATGTTAGCATACATTTATTGCACAGAAGCAGTTCACCGTGTGACTGCGTCACAATCTGTAAGATTACATACCTGTTATATGTATGTGATATTCCTCTTTGAAGATCTTTTGGAAATAAGGTACTTTGAACTGCATGTGTGCAGATGGCAAGCCTGGAAGATTCACTTCAACATCACCCATAAAATGTGGAAACTCCCAGTCCTGTTAAAAAAATGAAAAGTAAGAGCCTAAACATAAGCTTTCATGGTATATTTTTGCCCTTTAAAATGGCTTAAATTAATAAAAGGGAAAGGTTCTATTTTTAAGCCTCCCATTATTGGATTTTTCTTACTTTGACTGAACCACTTGAAATAGAATACCCTGTTTATATAAGACATTACAATATGATTTTTACTTCAGCTCCATGTAATTATGTGTTTAAAAGTTCGCTTTGGAATGACAGTTGAGAACCCGCTGTACCAGCTGATTGTACAAAATAGTCTAAGCATATGAATACCTATATAGCAACCTTGCAATACCAGTTACAACTTCTGTTACTGATTTGGCAAACAGTTTATAGGTAAGAAAGTGGCAAAGAAGGCCTAACCCTTTCAAATATTTCATATATCTGTATTCTACTTGTTCAGCTTATAGGGTGTTTTCTGTATTTGGTCTTAATACATCTAAATAAACACTGCCTGCAAGTGCAGGTCCTTCAGCATAATCTGCCTGAATCAATCCAAGCACAGTTTTCTCCACTGCTGTATTTCAGCTGACAAGGTAATGCTGGAAATGTGGAAGCTCTTACCCACCATTATCCCTATTTTGGTAGCATGTGGTAACCCAGCTGAGGAGGAGCTGCATTTAAAGGAATTTTTCACTTGGTTATCTGCACCCACCATCAGTCACTTGGAAATGGGTATAACAGCATGGCTCGTTAGAGCCCAAACTGAAAGCCTAGCACTAGTGCTAGAATCAGTACGATTACCGCCACAGAAATCACTGTGTGCTGCAGACTGTTGGTGACCTGCTGTTAAAAACACACTGGCCCTGTTCCCATGCACAGCCCTGGATTTGTATCCCACAAGTTAGTGCAACAAGCACCTGGATGACTAAAAGTAAGATAAAGGAATCTGTAAAGTGAGGAGCTCTGTGAGTGACTTGTGCTTCCTTCACATGAAAGCCATTCCAGCGCAGCCATCTCCCCAGAAGAACCAATTCCTTTTTTTTTTTTTTTTTTTTCAGTTTTATAAGGCTGGAAAATTTCCTAGCAGGGTAATGAAAAAAAATTATTCAAAACTAAGAATCATCACTGAAAGATAAATCACTATATATATTACTTAACTTCCAAGAATTCCCAACCCCTCCAACATTTTCTGCAGCAGAAGGGAAATAGAAGAGTTTTATCAGCAGGGAATAGCATGGCCCAAACACTAACAGCAGCTGATTTGTGCTAACTCCTTGTGATACTGAGCTAAATGAACTAATAGGAGTACAAGCAAGGAGAAAACCTGACCCTCTGTACCTGGTTCTCAATGTTCACAGTGATACAGAAAGTACCAATTTGCAGATGCAGAAGATAAAAGAAATAAGGATGCTCTCCTTTTGCCTTATCACTAACACAACACATGCACTCCTGGTCATGAGATATGGTAATAACCGCCCAGCTGCGCAATCCCTTACACTGCATCTGCAACCATCCCCTCGCAGGTGGTAGACAGCCAAAAAGTGCCCAAAGATAAAATTTTTTGGGGTGTACACTCTCAGTTTACAGTATCTAAGATACATCTCTGGACTGGTGTCTCACATTAAGCCATACATACTCTCACCCAGGAATAAACAGGAAGAAATACATTAAATATTCCTGAAGATAAACAAATGGAGAGCTGGGGACTCTGCATTAGAAATAAGTAAATGCGGGACTATAAATCCGGCCTCCTGCTCTTGGCTTGCCCCAATACTTCTACTATGCCTTTTGCTGATTTACAGATAAAATTCCACTGTACAGAATTTTGTATTGGACTGTGTCTTTGCATCTGAGTTTTATAAAAAAGTTCAGCATTTTTTCTGATCTGTATGAATATTACCTGATAATGAGTAACTAGAATGCCAGCTCTGTCAGATGTGCAATTTACTGTATTATTTGTCTCAGCAAACAACTACTGAGACTGGAAAATATGTCACGAAACAAAAGCAAACCAGAGAGATCCAACCTCAGCAGTGTGCTACTGTTTACATAGAACAGACAGGTGAGTGGAGAGCCCATTAGAAAAATACATATTTGACACTCCAAACTATGGCTACCTTTCACGTGTACATTATTTCACATTTTCTAAATATAAACCCCATACTGTATGAAGCACGCCTGAATTGTATCATGACCTCTGTTACCCTGTAGACCCATAATATGTTATTTCCATCGCTAGAGAGATGGGCACAGGCTGACACTGGAGACCTCACAGCTGTAAACGACTCACCAGTGCTCAGCTAAAGAAATGCAGATCTGGGACTGGACGAAACTGCTTTTCAGGGTAACAAGGAGAACAAAAAAGTATCTAACATACGTGAAAGGCACTGTGTACAGTAAACCTGGCTGTAACGTGGAGCTTCAGATCAGTGAAGAAACAGCAAGGTCTAAAAGTGTGTTAGCAAACATAAAAATGCCCTCAAGTGGATCCCGGAGTGAGGAAAAAGAAACCGTCACGATGGACGTCACGACCTTCCCAGCAAAGGACTCCAGATGCCCATGAGACACCGTAATGCCCCCACTGGCCCCCACCAGACTGAAACTGCCCATTTCGGGACCCGCAGGAACTGGGGGAGGGTGGATGAAACACCAGGAAAAGCAGTAGAAGCTAAGAAGTGTGTGTTTAACAATTTTGACATTAATATTACTGAAACTTTTTTCTGCACAGAAGTATTATTTTCTGTAATAATTAGATCTCAACTAATAATGATGCAGGGAAACACTGTTAAAATTTAAATGATACCAATAATAAATTCTTGGCTTTATGTACAAGGTGTTTCTTCTTCACCCATAAATAACCTTTTGAATGTAACACCTTTATCAGTATGATTATAAAATCTGTTATTTAACAACAGACCCACTGGAAATACAGAAATAAAATTAAAAAAACCCAACAAAATAAACCAGAACACAATAAAATGTACTTGAAAGCAATATTAGAAAAAGGAAACTAAAATAATGAGTTAAACTTACTGACTTCCATGAAAGTCACTACAGCTACAGCACTTAGGAAAATGAAGCTTCAATTTAGGTGATTAAATAGCCTTTGGGGCTTCAGTTGGCTCACAGCTTTGGCAAGTGTGAGCATTTACTGTCCATGTAGTGACATTATCACCTGCGGCCACCGAGCTGTAGTATTATTATTGTGCAGGAGAAGAGCAGATGACTATTAACTTTTCAAGGCTAATGCCAGTATCAGGTTGTCAAATCCAAACCCAACAAAGTGGCCATTTTGCTACCTAGATTCTAAGAAAGCGTTGTCCAAAATCTTTTGACTCTGTTTTAATTTTTTTCCTTACTGACATGCAAAAGACAACTTAATTTCAGCAATATCCAGAAAAGCATTTTTCCAAGAAATTCAAGGTGCCTAGAAGGAATAATCTACCTCATTTATTAATAGGTCCACTAATAGCACAAAGGTACAAGCCCATAAATCTAACCGCTTCCCTCTCTGGAACACAGCTCGGGTCTGCATCGTGCTTTCATACACGGCATTTTCTCTCTGTGGTCTCTGATATCAGTCTGTGCTATCAATCTGTGCTCACGTCCAGGACACGAGTGACATACGCTATGTTCTTTAAGTTCTCAGCTCGTAATTATGCAAAATTCACTTGATCAGCTTTAGTCCTTATTGCTGAGGTGCCCGTACTTTGCTGTATCTGGTATCTCATTAGGAACTGGGCCCAAAATACCATATTTAGAATGTACAACCATACTGTTAGCTCGTATTTGTATCTCTCATACTGCATGAACAGATTGCTTTTTCTTTAAATCCATCAGCACCAAATTTCTAATATTCATCTACTTCAGTGGTTTCCAACCTGGCAGGTCTGTAGCATACCTCTACGCAGTTTATGAAGAAGAAACCAACCCAGAACCAGCAGGCTTAAATCAGCCGCACAGAGGTCTCTAACCTCACCGGCAAGTTTTGTGGGATGTGCAAAGCAAATGAGGTTATTGCCTCATTTCACTCTAGTCATCAGGAAAGGGCAGCCAGAGGATGAATTTAAGATCACTGAGGGGTTCATCCTAGTGTTGCAATGGGCAAAGGGAGCACCTCTAATTTCCATCAGCTACCTCATTAAGCCCAGAAGCACAGACAAAACTGGATGCTGCAAAAGAGGAGATCATGGTATTTTGATTTTTTTTCCCCTTTGCTTCTAGTTCCCCACGCCAAACGAATGCACACACACTCTCTGCTGCAATGCCAGGTATTGGTTTAAGACCCCACAGTGGAGCTGGCAGCACTGATTTGGTATCTCTGTAAATAAAGCTATTTTTAGTAATGGTAACTGAGCATCAAAGCCACAATTTCTGATAGGATCTGGCTCTTCCCTGCCATCACCTGAGGAAAAGAGAAGTCGTTGCCTGGGGAAGCCCTGTCCTGACCCTGAGCCAGGACACATGGTTGCCCTGGGGCTCCCGGCCAGCAACACCCAGCACCCCGGCAGGCTGCAGGATTGCTCCTCGCTGCTCGGGGGGTTTTATTGCAGGCTCTGGGCTGCGTCTCCCAACCCCGGAGGAGCAGGACCAGGTGCCGGCAGGATTCAGCAAGGACGATAAGCTGTGCAGGAGGGCGATGCTTAGCCCTCAGCCGACTCCATCCCATGCTTCGTGCACGCACGACCCCGCGTCCCTCAGCCACCGGCCCCTTTCCACCCGGGGAAAACTGCCACAGAGAAGGTGGGACCGGGATTAAAAACCAGTAACGATTCATGGTAAACAAACGTGCCACGCTTTCATCTCTCCTCCTCTCTGGATGTAGCTCATAGGGTGTTTGGTACACAGTAAATATGAAATAACACTAAAAATAATATAAACACTGTGCAGATATGATCATGAAAGAGGACAAACGCACACTGAATATTTCTGCTTTAAGTGGTGATGATATATGCTACATTTAATGCTAGGAACGCATTTGTACTTTAACCCCCTCAGAATAATAAATAAACAAACATAGAGGGAAGGAACTGAG